AGACAGGCTCTAGAACGATGTATTTTAGTGATGACTTTAAGAGAATAGCCGAACCACCGTGGGCTTTACCGTCAGGATGGTTTGAAGTAATGAGATCGAATCCGTTTATTTTGGAAAAAGACTTAGAATTAAAGTGGGTTTCAGAAACTAGTAATATATCGACGTTGTAAGACTTTAAAAAGTATTCAATTTTCAATCTATGGTTACTCAGTCCGTTGGCGTTCCAAATTGCTATTTTAAGGCTTAATTGCATAACTTTGTTATGAGAGAGGACATCATATTTATTAATGTTGTGGTTAACTCAATTTGTTTGGCAATCATTTCTTCGAGTTTTTCTAATTTACCATTGCTGTTTGTAGTAGAACTATGTAGTCCCCTTGTAATATCTGCAAAGCTAACGTTTTTGTTGTAAAATTGTTGCTCAGCGTTTGAGCGATTACCTAAGTTGGGCCTTGGCTTATTATTAGTAGTGTCCCTTTTACATACTAACTCCTGATAAACTCTACAACCCTTGTAATTGGCGGTGTGATTTTGAAGACAGTGAACGCATTTTGGTGGAATGTCTTTATTTTTTTCGCAAAGGGAGGAGGGGTGGTCTAATCCACATTTCACACACCTAAACGGCTTTTTACAATACTGCTTGGTATGACCAAATTCTTGGCAGCGATGGCATGGTACCAAGTCGTTACATTTTTTAGGTGGCTCAATCTTAACTACAGCATTGCACAAGCGATTGACATCGTATACACTTTTATTGTTTGCAGAGGGCTCAAGGTCCACAAAGAATATTGACATCGGCATTTTAGAAATTTTACTTTTTGCATTCACCATATTTCGAACAGTATGCCCATTTTTAGCTAGCTCGTGTTTAATATCATCGATAGGGGTCGAAAAATTAATGTTTTTTATAACTAGTCGATATGGCTTGTCTTCTTTCAATTGGTATGTATGAAAAACAATATTATGGGAATCTCGATGGCTCACAAGTTTTCTGTAGCATTCACTGTTTGCAGTCATCACCCTTGCTTGTCCGTCACTGCCAGACTTGTAGGTGAAGTTTTCTCTACCAATAATAGCTGAAAAGCTGTTCACCATTTTAGTAATGCCATTTACTTGAGGTATGAAAATCGGAGGTGGTTTGTGATAAACTGCAGTAGTTTGTAATGAGTCTTCTTCTGCATTAGCGTTGAAGTCATCATTTGGCATGTTCAAATCCAGTGATGCAAACCGGTTTGAATTGTTTGGAGTTTCGTTGATCCTTTGTTGTTTTTTAATAGCTTTGGAGAGTCAATGTTTTTACGCTTTGTTGCTTTAGGCTGGTACGCGATTTGCCAGCCTTCACTGTCATCACGAGTACCGTTGGCTTTATTATCATCGGTCATGAAATAAATGTAATGTTTTTTGTTTTTGTTTTGTTTTTTCTATTTTCGTTCACACACTATTTGTTAACGAGAACAATACTTTGCATTAGTTATACCGGGAGCTTAGCGGTTATGACCGTACTCACCGAATACAAGATAGGAACTCCAAATCAGAATATGGTGTGCTTCAAAAGTTATAGCATAGTTAACTTTGCCCCTCTTAAAAATTACATAAAAAATTCACTTGTTTTCATTATTATTTTTTATTTAAACACCTATAATTCAAAAGTTGTGCAGCAAATTCATCCAAATTTTTTTTTAAGGCTTCAAGTATACGTCAATGAATTATATCCAAAAGCAACCAGCTTATTTAGTTTACAACAGTGAAAATAAAGCTAAATAACACCAAGGTTTCCTGTTTTTTAGATTTGCCCATATATTTTCATTTAATTTCTACTTGAAATTAACGAAATTTTCTTTTAGTATTCAAAGTCCTCGAACCACGTTAGCTTTTTTGCTCAGAAATCCACATTTAAATTATCCCAAAAAAGTTAAAGTACACAAATTTTACCAACTGTTTTCTTTCTTAGGGCCGTTAACTTTTTTCTGTGCTTTATGTTTCTATGTTGTTAAGCTCTAAAAAGTATCGCCCAATGAAAAAATGCTAAAAAAAAACATACCGAAGTTTTTATTATAAGAAATACAACACAGAAATTTTTTGCAGTGCATTACCACCAACACATTCTAATACATTCTCATTTTAAGACTTCTCTGTTTGGCTAGCACTGATTTAGAGCCAGTACTGGCTCGTGATAAATCTATTTTGCATGCAAACAACTGGCGTGTTTAACACGGCTCTCTTCGCTCTGCAACATTTTCTTTTATAGTTCCGAACCAGTTCTAACGACGAAAAAAGTAACATTCTCACGACATGCGGTTCTACGTACTGGAATGACTGGGGTTTTACCCGACCAAGGGCTGTTGTTTCGGCGATCTAACCCCGTTTATGTCGGCGAAATGCCCTGGTCAAAGCACCATCGCAAAAAAATTAGAAAAAAGGTTTTTGCTTAACAGCGGTCGCCCCTCGACAGGCAATGGCAAACCTCCGAGTGTATTCCTGCCATGAAAAACAGCTTCTCATGAAAATACAATCGCTTTTCGGAGTCGGCGTAAAACTGTAGGTCCCTCCTCTTCGTGTGACAACATCAAGGCGCACGCCACAAATCGGAGGAGAAGCTTGGCCAATCACTAACTTATGTGTAATCGCCAATCTATTATTATTACTATATGATACTTATTACTATATGATTATTATTACTATATGATACTACAGGCTTTGTAAAGCTGAGTGATGGAGCGATACTCAGTTGAACAACTTGTAAAAATTGCCGAAACGTTTTATGTAAATCGCGTTCTGCAAGAAGTACATTTCGCGTATTGCGGGATCCCTTTGGTAAAGATAAACAGCCATATTGTCAACAATCAGTCGTTTAGTGCAGAAATTCGAACTGGGTCTGTGAAAAACCTGGCCACACCCGAGCGTCTTCGCATGTGGAAGTATGGAGTAAAAGTATGGGCATGCCAATAAGCTCGAGACGATTCCAGAGCTTAAGAACGAAATCATAAGCACTAGAAATGGTATTTAGCCCGAACTAACGAAAAAGTGATGCTAAAATAAAAAAATTATTTAGAAAACTTGTGTTGTGTTTTATTTATGATAGAAAATCTGCGGTCTTATAGAATCACCCTGTACTACCCTGACAGGCCACTAGATCTATGTGTGAATTTTGACTTTGCGAATGCGGTTTATTTCATTTGAATAGGGGCCTGCAGATCCTGCCTTCATTATTATCGTCTGTGATACCTGGACCTTTGTTATTGCCGCTACACTTCTAAGCCCTGCGTAAATCGACTAGTGACTAGTCTATGAACAGTTGAGGCCAATTTCAACTAACGGCAGGTTCAGGAAACATATTATTTAACAGGATCGAACCAAAGACAAAGGGCGATTAGCTTAGTGGGTTTAAGGGAAGCAACTGAGAATCGTGTGGGGTTGCCTTCACTAGCTGGACATATGCATATTGGGTGTTTTGGGGTGGGGCCTGAATAAGTAAGAGTTTAACATGTTACAGTATCCAAACCTTAATTGCGCCAGAGTCACTCGGGTTTCTCGATGAAGCTGAAGCTGTTCGCCTGCAATCGGTGGGGTTGAACTCCGATGACGGCATTCACGACGTTAGAGTTGGTAAACATGGTGGTTGTATCTCGGTGCACGTTGCTTAAGATCTAGAAGGTGGCTCTGCTTACAGCAAGTGTTTGGTCGGGTGTTTCCTGTTAGCAGCCGAATTGCTTTCTGGGAATAATGATAAATACATTCATACATACATATGCATGTTTTATGACGGGTAGCACTGAGGCCTAGGTATGAAGGCATCTCATTTTACCACGATAATAAGTTTCTTAATTTAAGAACTCTCTTGCACATTTTTTGGCTTCGCATCCGAATTTCAGCATTCCTTAAAATAGCCTTAAATTATAGCCCATAGAATGCAATTAAGTAATATGAACATTTGGCCATTATTTCAGATAAGAATACGAAAACAGCTATTAAATTCTCAAAAATATCCGTTTCAAATTACTGCAAAATAAATCGTAGATTTACTGCAATTGAGCTTCCCTTTTATGTGGGCAATACACAAGGCAAATTTTTCATATGAGCTTAGAAGTCTTATGGTAAATTCGGTATCAACATATAACTTCGGAACCAAAACTTCAAATTGGAACGGATTATCGTCTGTACAATTTCATACGTACATATATGTACATACATATGTATATGTTATATGTTGTTTAGGTCAAAAAGAAAATAATTTAGGTGGTATGCGTTCGAATTTCTCCAAAAAAATTTCTGACACCCTAGCAAATATATATATATATGTATGTACGCATATTGATATTCTCGCACTCCAATGTCATATTGTTATCCACTTTAGACGAAAGTGAGGTTTTAAAAACTTTAACACTTTCATTAGGGCGATGCCAAGCACATCACATGCACCAGAAATAACAAAAACATCATCTTAATAATATTAACAACATAAAATTCAAGCATATGACGTTAATCCCGGCGACTGTGGCCAACACTTGGTACTTTTTCGGCTAAATATATTTGATGAAATTACCAGCCAGGCGTAACAAATGAGACCGCCGGCGTTTTGCCTTTGCGGGGTTAAGTGCATCAAAAAATCACTACAATCAAATTAGGGTGTGATGGCGAAACAATTGTCCCCAGAGAAAAATTTGTGCACAGATTGACGCGAGGCTTTAATGGCACCCTAATTGAATGTGTAAATAAATTTGTAGATTACTCACAGGGTCGGCAGCTACACTTCACTTATAGGTACGGAGGACTTAGAAAATAAGAGAATTGTGGCAGCGAATACGTGTACATATGTATGTATACGCATGTTGCATGCAAAGTCAACTGTACAAGTATATGTACAAGTTAAATATGTAAGAGGATAGAGTCGGTGAGAGGGCGGATAGTACAAAGAGTAATAGCATTTGAGCATTTGCAATTCAATAAAACAGAATTTAATTGAAACCAACTTAGCAAGTGTATTTATTTATTGCAGAAATACTTAGCACGCACACAAACAGAGTTTGCTATTCGCCACAGAATCGATTGGTCCCTTGGAGTCAGCATTCAACGGTGAATTCGGCTGTATGCGCTGAGCAGGCCGGATCCATGGCAACTGCGCGTTCGAAAAATCAAAACTTAGGCTTGATCTGTGTGGTCTGTGGAGATACCAGCTCTGGAAAACACTATGGGATTTTAGCCTGCAATGGTTGTTCAGGATTTTTCAAAAGAAGCGTTCGCCGGAAACTCATCTACAGGTTAGTTTGCTATTATTAGTTGCGTTCCAGATGCTTCACGATATTCACGAAATTCACGATTTGCAGGAACAGCTGTTTTCTCCATTAATAAACCTTATGGGAGGTGGTCACCTGGAACGACTTCCTGTAAAAACCTGCAAATCTTGAAGCATCTGGAACGCAGCTATTGTTTCTATTTTATCGATTAATAAAGATTATGAGTTACTTTAGATCGCAATTATACTACTATGACTATACTTTTTTAAAGGCACAAATATTTATGAATTTTAGCCTAACCATAGATATGTAGTTATGCATGTTATATATGCCTGTATGTAGGTATGTATGCACATTAAGGCGTATCACGATAAAAAATTTAGCGTGTGCCAGTTTTATTTGAATATTTATGTCGAGAAAAAATTTTGGGTGCAAAAATTTTATTTTTATGCACCCGCTAACTATAACTTTCTTATTTGCTACCCGATTTTTTTAATTATTTTGTCACCGAAAAGGCCTCGCTCAGATCTGTAATTGAATAAAGCCTAATAATTTTTGGCAAGGTCGTCACCGTTTTTTTGAGAGCTTTAGATTTACAGTATGAAAACAAAAATCTAGGGATAGTAATTCCAAAATTAGTGTAGGTATAAATTAAAACGGGTTTGAAGGCCAAAACTGTTTGATGGCCAATTATAGTCCTGCGAGGTCTTCACAACGCCATATACCGATTTTAAAAATCAGACATAAAAAAAGAAAGTTTTAGCAAAAAACGCGATTAAGCGGTACACCCAAAATTTTCTCTCGACCGAACATTCGCATTCGCATTCACAACCGCGGAGCTTCCGCATTCATTTTAACATTTACATTCGCTTTCGCATTCGTAATAATCAATGCGGAGCTTTTACGAATGCGAATGTTGTAAAAGTGCACCGATAAAACGTATATATGGCAAACAAAATGACAAATTTTAGCCAATATGTTTTGCCTGTGGTCGTGTTACCCGGGCGCCGCACATTGGAGTATTTGTGTACCAAAACTGGTCAAATGTCATATAGAGATAGATATAGAATTTTGATAAAAGTGTCTCTAAACATATTATTTCTTAAGCTATATAACCGAGCTATCAATGGGCAGTCATACAAGTTCCCACTTCTACTTGACTTTTGACGTACGTCAAAGAGAACTTTGTCCTTTTAATAATATTTTTTTTTGTTTTCTGTGTTTTTTTTTTTGTTTTGCAGGCAGCATTGGTTTCTTTTTTTACTATGATTTTTCTGGACCAATCTTAAAAAAGCTACTAGAAATGAAAGAACTAAGTGTGCACTGTAATTTTAAACCAAATTTTCGTGATTTGCTTTTGATGTTACATATATTTTTTTCAATCATTTCAAATGGGGCTCTTTGGGGAATTTATTTTTAGCAAACATTTCAAAAACAGTAATTTTGTTTACTTGTCGGACAATATTTTTTTCATATGGATATACATACATTGGATCCTTAGCTAAAAACTTCTGTGGTAAAACTCTCCCGGTATGCCTTTGTTCTTTGCTATTTAAAGTCAAAGAGTAAGTTTCTTCAACGGGGATTTCCAGCAGAAATGATGAACGCTTGCCTATAAAGAGAATCGCTGCTCAAATAATTAAAAAGCTATAGGTCTGACCTTTAATTAGGTAAGAATTACGTAACTATCTGAGACCCTCATCATCCGTGATTACAATAATTAATAATAAATAAGCTATAGGTCTGACCTTTAATTAGGTAAGAATTACGTAACTATCTGAGACCCTCATCATCCGTGATTACAATAATTAATAATAAATAAGCTATAGGTCTGACCTTTAATTAGGTAAGAATTACGTAACTATGGCTGACTTCCAAAACGTATCAATACAATGTTTGGAAACTGTTATACTGCGATATTCCAACTGTTTGTATATGCAGAGGTGCGACACATTGCAACAATATACACTGCATTTTTAATTTATTCAATATAGCAATGTATTAAGATAGAATAATGTAATCTTACCCTTCGACGTCGGCCATTGTTTACTTCAAAATGTCATGAAAGTATCAATTAGCTTAGCGATGCGCAGTTTGCTTCTGTATACGCATTGATAACTTTTACGATACATTTTGGGGCATGTCACATCGTCAAAAATTACACATTTGCATTTAGGAATGCGTGACTTTGTATAGTTGCTTTGCAACTGACGTTTTGGAACTCAGCCTATCTGAGATAAAAATATAACCATATTCTGATCCGATTCGGCTGGCAGCCACGATTTAGTTAAACAAATTTTCATTCCTGGAAAATAATAATTTATTTTCCATATCTACCTATATATTTAGCTTACTCCAAGCACAAATTACTTTATTATAAAAAATTAAAATTACAGTGCACAGAAGAAGCATTGAAAATGAATTACAAAAACTAAATACGTTACAGGTACCCCAAATTCTGAAACAGCCAAAGGAATGAGAATGAAGAATACTTTTTAAAAAGCTTTGGAAAAACCTGACACATCTGCTTTGGCTTGTAAGCGGTGTTTAAACAACGATCTCGCCGTTATGCTAGATTCTTCAAGTGGAGATTAAAGTTAGGAGGATACATCCTATATTTTCATCCTCAATGCAATTCTCATTACTTTTTATTTAATATAATGTTCCAGTTTTTAAATTCAAGTACTAAATAAAATAAACATTATTAAAAATTACTAAGTTTTCCATTTTTTTATTTCCCTAAATAACTTAATTTAATTTTTTCTTAAAAATACTTGAAATCCGCATCCGCGGATGTTAGCTGTTAGACATCCGCATCCGTATTCGCATCCGCGGATGTCTAAAATTCCACATTCGCAACACCCCTACTACACACATACTATTTATGCATGTACACTTCTGCATAAATGCATATCGTGTAACTTTTCAATTCCAAACACTGCAATTTTTTCTCTATACATTATATTATGCCCGTTGTTATTCTCATGTTCTGCATACACTTTCGAATGATTAACAGGCAGATTTCCTCAAAAGGGATGAAAAAAAAGCTGGCATCACGTATTCGTTGAACTAAATTTACACTCTATGCATTCCGATAATCCATGGCTTCTGAACGATATTCTTACCATCATCCCCTACAAATAAGTCAAATGGTTTATTCCTGCAGACTATGTTATTTGGTCACATTTGGTTAAGTGTATTCTTCATAAGCTCCATATCAATCTCTTGGGAAGGGATAAAGTGAGTTGACATTTGCGATGACTAAAGGGAAATAGTAATACATGCTGGAATAAAAAAATTTAATTTTAATATTAGGAAAACGGGGTTTGACTTTATCCTTTAATGTTTTTTTTTATTAAATACGTACGCCGTATGATTCTACTGTGCGGCTGCTTAAAGAGTTTTTGAAATTTTAATTTAGCTTATGAGCATTTTTTTCAGTTTATGTTTGTTTTATTACAAGCTTTTATTTAATTTGCTCATCCCGCGGAAATTTTCAATCGATTTTGAACTAACTTCCCGGAATGCGAGAGACTTCAGCCACAATTACACTGCAATTTAAAATATAAATTGATTATCTAAATGGTCTAGGTGCCCCGATCTCAAGACGGGCCAAACTTAGTATGATTTACGGCTAGCCCAGCATAATTTGACAAAGGACGTAAAAAACGCCCCAAGTTATTTATATCTGCCGGCGTTAGAAATATAGTTTCAGACACTGGTATGATCGATTCTATTGTGAATTATTTGAAATGTTTTACAAGGCCCTACCTTTAACTTTCTTATACTTATACATGTGTAAATTTTGCATGGTCTTAGGCATCTCTGTTAAGAATTACATTAGTCGTGGTTTCGTACTTTCCATTAAAGAACTATCTGGTAACTTTCCAGTAAGCGAATTTCTGAAAGTAACGCAACATTTACTCCCAGTGAGAGAAACATGCAAGAAAGTATGGAAATGCAAAACGTATTATTTTTTCATCTCATTTCATTTATTAACTTGTTAAATGCAGTAAACCGCGAGCTCCTTTCAGTGTACAAATAATCCAGAAAAATTACAAAATTAACTTCAACTAAAATCAAATTAAATAAAGTACGGAATAATATAGTAATAGTAGCAACAGTAATTAAATTTAAGTAACACTTTACGAATAAAAAAAAACAGATATACCTATATAATAAATAAAGATAACGGTTAAGAAGAGGATTTTTTAGGTAAGTTAAAAGCATATAAACATTGTTATACATTTTGAAGCATATAAACATTCTTATACATTTAGCTGTGGCTACCATTATTTTCCTATACAATTTTCTAAGAAAAATAGTATTTCCTGTCTTATTATATGTATATTTAAATAGGTTTATTTTATTTATTGAAACTACAATTGTTTTGTTAGTGCGAAGTGCACTAAGCATAATGCCATCAGCTGCTTTCTTACTGGCAAATAGTTACCATGATACAAATATTTAAAGGTAGTTTCACTTCTTCTTCTTATCCGCCATTGCTCCCATTTGACGTAAACTGTGCTTTTGACGTTTTCTTTTAAATTGAAGCTACCATATTCTTTGAAGAAACCAAAAAAGTGGTTTTTTACTTAAAGAAAAAATTATTCCAAAATTATTTCAAGGAATATATTTTGAGCATCATTTTATAGCGGCCTTTTAGTGGTTTATTTCTAAAATTAATTATAAAACGGAAGGCTAGCAAAATACTCCTATTACATTGCGTAATGCACATGGATAATATGTTTGTTTATGCAATTATTTTCATCATTATTTAGTACGATTAGCTGCATATTTCGGGATGGCCACGTGCATGGTAACTTCACCAAGGAGTTGTTTGCTTGTTCCAACAGCTTTTCGGAGGAAAATTTTCAGCCTCGGGACGGATGTGCCCAATCTAAGCGAAACGCTGCACCAGCAGCAGTAGAGCGAGTAGTTTATCTGTCTATAAACTAAAACAAGGAGCTCTAAGAATTTGTAAATTTTTTACCTCCCTCTAAGTTTATGCTTCCATAGTGCTT